TGAACCATGTCGATTCTTGGAAGAACTGACAGTGGGCGGTATTGCGTCTGAGCACTGAGCAGTTGCCGCCGCCGAAGGGGAAAGGCTGCTGTCTTTAAAAAATGGCTTTAGCATGTGCGGGTAAAAACCCAACACGGTTGATCGATATGCCGAGTAGAAACACCTCAAAGACAGGCACCCTTACTTGATTAAAGAATTCAAGATGAGTGAGTTTCAGTTTACTATCGCATGTGTCACATTATACTTAATAATATATGTTCAGTTATTTGGGCTTGAGAGCCAGCTCACTATGTTTGCAGAGGCGTAGGCCTCTAATACTTGCTTGGTTGCTCCCTTACAGTAACAGATGAACATAATTTAAATATACCATAATTTAACATGACAACATGAGATGGTCTCTGACGTGTCTGTCTCTGAGTTATGTTACTTAAACTAAAACCTTAATTTTTCTTTTACAGTATCAGTCTGAGGAAGACACGGACAAAGAGAAGCAGGAGTAGAGTCACACACTAATAGATACAGTATATAGAGATACGAGTGTCTCAACATATGAGTATTTCAAGATACGAACAAGCCTTCTAAGCGAAGTGTTTGCTTCAAGATACAAGCAAAGATTTCAGATACGAGCACGCTTACAGACGCTGACGCTAGGTGCCTGAAAACTCGGAGCAGCCCACGCCGCTTCACTCGTTCACTTCACGTGTTCGTCGACTTCCGTACGCATCTCCCGCAAGTCTTCCATATTGTGTTTGCATTATCTACGTGATTTTTCTCTAATAGTGATGATTCCTAAAAGAGTGAGTGGTAAGGATGGTAGTGAGAAGAAGAAACGCATGACTATGGAAATAAAGCATGAAATTGTCGATATATATGAGCATGGTGCCCACTAAAGAAAGAATACAAAGCAAAAAAAAAATAAAAAATAAAATAAGTTAAGTTTATTCTAAGTTTATGTAAGTTACGTAGTGTATGTGTAAGGTGCAGTCCATTCCTCCCTCCCGCTGCCTCCTTTGCACATACCGCCATTAGCCGCTACTGTATCGTCTGTCTCAAAGGTAAGAACACATTTTATTTTATATCAAAGGAATCCCTATATACCCTATAATTTTGTGTGTGTGTGTGTGTGTGTCTCTATGACATTTAAAAACATGTTTTTTTCCATTGTTATTAGCACCAATAAGGGAATTATTTAGAGGGCCGGAACAGATTAATTTTTTTCCTGTTATTTCTTATGGGAAAAAATGATTCAAGATACGAGCACTTCGAGTTACGAGCTCGGTCCTGGAACGGATTATGCTCATATCTCGAGGTTCCACTGTACTTGACAGTTCGGTTTTTTTTTTTCCATCGTGGTATCAGGAAACGTGGAAATTCTCAGGTATTGATATCAACTACTGAAACTCTGGTACCTTGATAACCCTATATCCAAGCATGTAGAATACCAAACAATAGCCTGCACCTAAAACTTAACAATATGTACTGAAGAAGTGTCAACATCATGACACTTCTACGTGACTGCTGTTTACACACACATGCTACTTCACTTCCCATTTGTATAGTAATTGAAGGTGTTGAATGAGCCAGATGACAAGGCAGAGCAATTAACTTTCTTGGTTGTCCAATACCAACATCTGCTGTGGTAAGGGTAAACAAAACACAATAACACAATAAATATTGATGTGATTTTATACTGTTCCTCAGGCACATTGCAGTAGTCCCTTTATAATTCTCCAGTCCATTACAGGGCCAAATATAGAGACAAATATTCACACTCAAACTCATAACGTGATTAATTTTCAGTGATTAAGGCAAGAGAGTCCACCACCATTCCACCGTGTGACCTGCACAAAATCGACATTATTAAAATCTTGACATGAGGATTCAAAAGCAATTTTTTTAATAAACACATATCCTGTTTTAGAGGAGCATACACTCATATGCCGTTACGATAATACCTTCTATTTTTGACAACAAGGTTAGATTGTAAAAAATATTCACCTGCATCTTACACAGTGCACGTTTATCCTCAATGCCACTTGAGTAATATAAACCAAAGCCTGTGTGTAGTAAAATTTATGAACATATTAGGAAAAATCAATGAACGTTAGCTCCATGACAACGTGAGGTTTTTTTTTTAAAGAAAGACCATTCAAAGGATCTGACCATCCAGTCATTTGCTGATGTTTCTACGCTGGGCAACTGTAACTCAATATTGTCAACAGCTGAGGATGACGGCGAGTACGATTGGACGGACCAGCAATAAATGCCTATCAATTACATTAATTTCATTCTGCCATATATGCGCTCAATTTTCGGCCCTTTCAGCGAACATTCATTCACCGAGTTGTAGTGCGGTTTTACAGTCACGACTATCCGGATAACACGTTAACATGGCCATCTCGAGGAAGGCATGGAGGACGCGGACTTTAAAGATGGAGATTAACGTTACGTTAGATTCAATCTATGGATCACAATTCATAAATTCCACATCGTCCGAGTAAATTATGGTTGAGGTTGTTTTCCCCGTTTCTCTGGTCGTCGTGTGGACAACCCTTCAACTTATGTGAGAAGACACCATATGGAAGTACGGCCAGCGCTGTGGCTGTGCAGTTGACTGATAATATTAGCTTGTCCACATGCTAACAATAGCTTTAGCTTCAGTATAATTAGCCACACAGCTAGCCGAGCTAAGGCTAACCTACAGCTAGCTGCTTGTTCTCTCCAATGCATACTAAGCTTACACACACAGGGCAAATAAGGAATGTATACCATATTTGGTAACCCAAAAACGTAACATTTATCCACATTGTTGCGAACCTTGTCATGAATGTATAACAAACATTGTCAGTTCCTAAAATAGAAGGTATTAGCACTTATAGCTAGTTAGCATTTTCCAATGACTTACCGCTGCCAGTGTAATGGTGCTGTTAGCCGCTGCTACTTCACTGCGACCCCGACTGTCAAAATAGCGCCGCGTGAGGAGACAGCGGCGTAAACGCTTACGCTGCCAAACGGATGGCTACCAGGTGTGACTGGGCGGAACTGCTAAATAATTAACATAAACAGCCAAATAATAAAAGGACAAAAATTAAAGAAAAAAGAAACAAAACGCTATTCCTCTTTCTCGGCTCCGACTTGTATGAGAGTATCAGCGTCACCTTCCCCCCTCCCGCACCGACAGTTTACGTCAGCAACGTGCTTCACAGTCGCAGGGAAACGCTGAAGCAGGAGGTCGTCAACTTTTTATAGACAACTTAAAATGTCAGATATTAGTCATAGCCAGAATCTGTGTCCTGTGCTGGATGTGCTAATACTATCGAAAAGACCGTCTACCACTTGTAGAAGAACTAAGTGAGATGTAGCGCACCACAGGTGGCATATTTAAATGAGGCCTACAATCTCTTAAAGCTGTGTTCAAGGTACACTGATTAGAGTTTCAGTAGATATTCCATTTTTTCAATGTCAATGGAATTCACAAATTTGAAAATAAAATGCCTTCATGATCCAAGGATAGGCTTTCCTTTGGTTATATTCAAGGGACTTTTAATCTAGGATATTACAGTATAGTTTTGTCTTTTTTTTGCATCCATCTCATACTGTTTTTTATTGTATATATATTATTATAATTCATGTCTGTGCATATTTTGTTATGTGTCAGTGGATTAATTTAATAATTTTAAAATAAAAAACTTTTCTTCTTTAGCGATATAGCGCATAGTGTCAAATTAAAATAAGTGAATGTTTTGGGGGATTCAAAATATTGCTTTTCTTTTGTATGCATCTGATATAGATTTTTATGACATAGATGTTAGTTTCCTTCCCTACTGTTTTCATTTATGATCACATACTGTAGGTTTTCGAAGTACTCTGTGTAACGTGGTGTCAAATACAAGTTTATATAAACATAATTATTTTTGGAGTGAGGGTGAGAGGGGGGTTAAAATAGAAGCATGGTCAACCCAATGTGCAAAATATTGTAGGACCACCGCTGAATTTAAATGTCATTATTTTAAGTCCATGGAAGAGGGTTGTAGCAACACTTCCTTCGGAAAACATTTAGTCCATGGAAGAGGGTTGTAGCAACACTACATTCACATTTTTCAAGTCACAAGCACATTGTGCTACTTATATTTTTCCATCCCATATTTGCCATATTGACAATAGTTCCGCGGTTACCAACCTGCTATATAAAAAACACTGCTGAACATTGAGAATTTTGTTGTCTCATTCTGGTCCCCAGTCTCATACCCAGTGTATTGGTAGTCAAATCATACTCTTCACACTCTCATGAAAACATTGTGTTAACAAACCAGTGTAAAATTCACACTGCTCGATTATACGCCCAAGATAAAAAGATGTTGTTTTACTGATAATGAATAGATACTAATGGCTTTACTTCAGGAGCTAAAATACACAACCGAGAACATAAACAGTTACCCACAAACATCACAGTACGCTAAAATACACAACCGAGAACATAAACATAACGTTACCCACAAACATCACAGTACTGTTCATGATAATGAAAAACCTTATTCAGTGTTGAATGTTAAAAGATTCAACATTCAAAACTCGTGCTCAGGTTGGGGTTGTGCTCAGTTATGCAGGGACGTACATGAGGACATCCATAATTAAGCTGGTAACTGGTTCTGCAACAAATCCAGCAGCCGACTCGGCAGAACATTATTTTATCCTTACTTAACCAGGTGAGTGTTGACGGCTTTAGATTCAACTATGTTCAGGTATTACTCCATGTTTTGTAACCTGCTCCCATCAGATGATTAGTTTTGCTTGGATATATTTTCTAAACTGACCTCGGGCACACAGTGCTCTTTAGGGGAGCATCTTAGTGCTCCAGAAAACTTAGTGTAGAGTTTTTCAGGTCACAAAGGCAAACACTAAGACTCAGTCTTTGCTCACGAACAATTTGCCTTCCTTACCGTTTGGTGGTAGGATATTTTGTCAGTAACCTCCACAAATGGCAGGTCTCATTTTGTACAAATAAAAAAGTGTGACTTTTGATTGAAGACGTACAACACATATGATTGACTGACCAGCCTGCAGTCTAGATCTGTGACTTATGATGATAAAAAGTTCAAATGTGTTACCAAATATCAGAAATCTGTATTTCTTGCATATAAAAATAGACATGTTTTCTGTCAATAACCTCTGTATGACACACTTTTTCAATCGAATGCATTGTCCTCTTTCAAAGTTAAAGGGCACCGAATTTAAATGATCGGGTGGAGCACCGGTCATATCTGTGATTGTAGAAATTATTTCCTACTTCCTGTTTAGGTTGGCTTGGCTTTTAATTCTTAAAAGTCTCGTTGTGACTCTTGCTGTTTAGGTTGGCTTGGCTTTTAATTCGTTTGACAATAAAAGTCTCGTTGTGACTGTTCACGCTGTGTTTTTACAAAGAAATTTTTTTTTCTAAGCTTTTATTCTGAATACGTTGTAGTTCTGAGAACTTACCACTAGTCGGCAGACAAGTACTTTGTTCAAGCGCTGGGATCTGCCACCTACAGTATATAATATACTAACATTAGGATGGCATAAACTTGTGCTAGGTTGCCATGTACATACATGCATGTATATATGAACACTCTTCACTCATCCCATGGTGTAAACTGTGGGCAGGCTAACGACCTACACCGTGTTACATGGTAAACATGAACTGTGCCGCCGCATCAATGTGTCGCCTCAGTTTGTATTGATTGGAACCATTTGTGATTATTAAATGAACCTGGGTTTAATAAGATCTATTAATCAAGGCTGCAATATATAATATATTAAAATATATTTATATTTTATCTGGTTCACACACACTTATGTCGACATTGTTTTTTTTTTCTAATCACAGAAAGACTCACACAGGTCGTGTGAGAATCCCAACAGGCAAAACTTGCATGGACAAAATCATGACACATGCAGGTTTGCAGGAACATATGAATCCACCATGCATGGAACATGACACAGCCTGTCCATACCCCACCTTGTGGCACCACCTGCCTCAAGGTCTTTTATGTACATTTTGAACCAGTTTGTTTGCTGCAGTGACGAGATGGTCTTTTTTTTTATCTGACTGGGTAAAAGGGCAAAGAATTTCTAGTTGCCACTGCCAGGACTCCCACTCTCTAGGCAACCATGGCACAAAAACACCGTGACCTCATTGCATCAGGTTCATGCATAAAACGTAGCAGTTTGTGCTATTCACGTGGATCGTCTGCATTTGGACTTTGTGTGAGTGAGCATGAGAAGAGAGACACATGCTTTGACAGTGATTTCCTGTGCGCCCCCGATGCGCTCATTGGTGCGTGCCTCCAACGTGTCACCAGTTTTGGTGGATTACCCCGGTAGATATGTTCACCTCCTGAAGGGTGAAACACCACTCCCTTCTCTCAGCTCCTGCTCTCACTGTTTCCAGCTGCCAACAAAGACCCAACACAAACAAGAGCTAGAAAACTTCCAGACCAACTCAAGTGGAAACAGTTGGAAGATAGCTGTCATTTAGATCTTGACTCACACATTTTCTCCTAAGGGTCAACGATGACGCCGTTTCCAGTCCATTCTTTTCTGCTCGTGGTGCCCCTGTTACTGAACGGTGTCTGCGTCACCTGCTCTCCAGGTTGCGCCTCTTGTGCCTTAGCAGCCATGGACAAAGACGCAGAGGAGAAGCTGATGACTGAAATCGCCAAGCAGCAGATTCTGGACAGACTGCACCTGAAAGAGAGACCAAACATCACGCACACGGTTCCGCGGGCTGCGCTCTTTACTGCGCTGCGTAAACTGCACCCAGGGCGCATCAGACAGGATGGTACCCTAGAGCTGGACAACAACATGCCCACCAGAGATCGGGGCTATGAAATAGTCAGCTTTGCAGATATAAGTAAGTTGTAACCACACTTTGTTCTTTAAAAAAAAAAAAATCGCTTTATTTTCGAACTTTTTTCGAACATTTGAACAGAAATAATGTCAGAGCGAGTTTTTATTTCATTGTTTTTCATGTTTTATTCCACACTGTAATGTGGTAAAGTTTCAGGATTACAATAGACCAGCACCCAAGAGTACTGGGTAAATACTTTTTCAGGGTAAAACTTGAAGTAAAATACAAACAACAAAGGTGATGATGTCCTGAGCCTCGTTCAGTGAATGCAGGTTCTCACGTTCGTTCTGACTTGTTTGCATTGACTTGAAAGTTAGGAGTACAAACTGCAAGGGCAGAGTGCAGAACAGAGATTCTCTAGTCTCAATTATTTGATTTATTTCTCGATTGAACAAGAATGATCATTTGAAGGTTATTTTTTTTTAAATATATATTTTACATTTTTTATACAAGTTTTTAAATAAACTAATGTTGTCCTCTGAACCTCTGAACCGTCCATGATACGATCGGTCTGTTTGCATTCCTTTGTAGGTGAGACGGGCAGAAATGAGAAAGCCAGTCTGAGCCTTTCCTTTCAGTTTCTGCAAGAACGAGGCCAGAGTCTCCAGGTCATCCAGTCTTCACTGTGGGTCTACGTACACTCCTCTGATGAATCCCACCGAGGCTCCCGTATCCCTGCCAGAGTGTATCTCCCAGCAGATGATGGTCGGACACTGGTCATTGAAAAGATGCTAGAAGTCCAGGAGAGTAACTGGCACACCTTCCCTGTCACCCGTACCCTGCAAGCATTTCTGGACGGTGGACGGCATCGATTACACCTGGAGGTCAGCTGTGATGAGGGCGGGAGAAACCTTTGCTTCTTAGAAGCCTCTCCCGATACCCCCCACCAGCCGTTCCTGGTGGCCCAGGTACGTCCGCGTGGCGATGAGACCAGGCACTCGCTAAAGAAGCGCTCCTTGAGATGTGGGAAAGATGTGACCATCTGCTGCAAGAGAGACCTGTACATCAACTTCAAGGACATCAAGTGGGATGAGTGGATCATCGCCCCCGATGGCTATCACATGAACTACTGCGTCGGTCAGTGTCCTCAGCATCTTTCCGGCTCTCCTGGGATTGCGTCATCATTTCACACCTCGGTCTTCAGTCAGCTGAAGATCAATGGCATCAACACAGGTACAACTTCATGCTGTGTGCCCACTGAGCGCCGGCCTCTCTCCATGGTCTTCTTTGACTCTCAGCACAGCATTGTCAAAATGGACATCCCGGACATGATTGTAGAGTCCTGCGGATGTACATAGGGCTCATAAAAAAAAAAAACAGGATTTGTTTAATAAAAGGTCAGTATAGTCTGTTAGATAGACATATAAATACAAGAATGTGGAAAAAGATGAAAGAGTTGTAGCTTGCTTTGGTGAACTCAGGCAACATCTGATAGGTGTCAAACATATGGCTTAAGGGCCAAAACCGGCCCGCTAAATTCAGCCCGCTTGATGAATTTTGAAAGTGAAAAAAAAAACAAAAACTCAAACACTATTTTACTACTAAATTATATTTCATTAAACATGAATATTTTCTAATATAATTGTACTTCTTTGCACGAAAACAAGGGGAAAAACGTCGTACTTATTGTACTATTTAAGGTAATGATGTCATGATGCTACTGTTACAGCCCACTTCACATCTAATTAGGCTGAATGTAGCCCCTGAACCAAAATGAGTTTGACACCACTGGTCTATACCAAAGCTGATGTGTATGTGTTAAAGTAGATGTAGGGATATTGCAACACATATGAATGTCATTTCTTTCTTTTTTTTTTTTTTTCATTCTTACATCAGAGGCAAACCTGCTCAGCCCAGGAAGAAGCAGTAGCAAAAAGGTTTTGGCCAAAAAGGTCCACGCACACTAAAATGTTTTTAATATATGTCAAACCATGTGCATTGAGATTATTGTTGTCTTTAAAGTTAAAAAATGGGAATCTATTTTTTAATCAAAACAGTGGCAATTTACAGAACCAATCTTGAGATCCCATTTTAACGTCAACAGAGATTCAGAGTTTACACGGTGCCTTTTATAGTCAGGAAGCCCGATTGAAATATGGCCTTATAGTATTATTCATTTTAGACACCTTGGAGTGTTTTTTTTTTGTTTGCCTAAAATTGGAAAAAAAACGCAAATAAAGGGGCCAGAAACAGCTCCTAGTGGGATGCCAGATGCCTATTGTATTGGCAGACTTTTTTTGCACAACAGGAGGTGGGTTTTTATTATGGTGCAGTTACAGACTGAAAATAAATAAAACCAGCTAAAATAAACCAGCAGCTTGAAATATGCCTTAATCAGCAATTCAACAGAAGTAAAACAATCTGTTGGGTAACTGTGACTTTTTGAACCCAGGGTTGATTTTCCAGCAGTGTCCGCAAACATTTAGCAATTGCTTCAGTGTCAGGTAATGTGAAGGTCCGTAAGGGATTTGGATCAAGGATCATGATCTGCAGTGGGTTTTATATCTGTCAAAGTTTTCCGAGTTGATGCAAAAGGGGACGTTTAAAAAAAGTCTCCTAGGTATTTGAGTAGCATTTAAACAGGGAGGTCATGAAATTCCACACCTATTAAACAAGACTAAACACCAAATAAAGATAAGGAATATCTAACGATATACACCGCAAATGCTACTACTACTACTACTACTACTACTACTACAAGTAATATTACACCAAAGATTCTTAGTCTTTTGCCTTCCAGGCACTTTCTTTATCTTCTGTATCATTGAGTTAGCATCGTGTCCTACCCTCTAAGCACTTTATCAACTTACTGTACTTTTTAGATCGTAGAGAAAGTAACCAAATCAACCAGCAATTGTGTGTGTCGATTTGCGTCCATACAGCAGAAGGTAAAATCTAACAGGAACATTTCCCTCAGATATGTAATTTTTTTTTTCCTGTTTTCGTAATGTATGATGTTTGATGTGACATTAAAGAAAGAAAATGTGTCTCAATGTACTGTAATGACATGAATATTATTGCTATGAAATAAACTTTTTTTTTTTAAATGTTCACGTTCACGTTTGAATTGCATGTGAGAGAGCCATCATCGTTTTACACCTTACCCAGGATGAGACCCACAGTACGCGCCATGTTATCTCGTGTGACATCTGTACAGCAAAGGTCTTATTTGCTCATGCAAACAGTTGAAGTGGCTTTATGGACAGCCTTTGTTTGTTGTGCAAACAGGCACACAGTCTTTTGGCATATAATCTTAACAGCTTGCTTTTCGAAAAGTGCAAAAAAAGAAAAAAAAAAGTGGCATGCAAAGATAAAGCTACAAAAACTCCACACATAATCTGTTGGATTGTACAACGCAATTCTGCATTAACCTACAGAGATTCTTCTGCCGCAACCACAGAAGAACCACATAATATGTTGCTGAATCTGCAGTAACAGTAAAATTGATGGGATAATTAACAGCCCTAAAATCAACTCTGGGTAAATGTCCAGAATGTGCAGTTCAAAATCCATGACAAAATGTATCACTGCCAAAATCTGTCAACTCCCACCTCTGCAGCCAACTGAAATGCTGCTGTTTCATCATCAAAAAATTGATTATAATCAGTGTCTGAGTGTACTCTGGCACGATGTCACATTTTTAAAGCTCAATAACCTTCATCATCTCCATGTTTTTGGTTTTTCCGGTGTCTTCACTCATCTCCTGCCCAAACCATCTTAACTTCAGAAATCTTGTCTCAAACCAGACAACACTTCATAGCAGATCTCACTACTTTCCTACACAGAACATCGGTCCAGTCTTTCTTGGTGCTGCCTCTTTTGGTCCAAAATTCATCAAGGACGAACTTTCACTGCACGCTCTGTCCGTCTAATAGATTTTAAAGACGCAAGAACTGGAAAATCTGGTTAATTATATGACCAGTTTACCAGTAAAAATGTATTTTCTACTTGATTGACTTACGACTTGTTTTGAGCTGTTGGCTCCCAATCCGTCATGTGTTTGTGGCTTCAGTCTTAGGTCAGTGGTCACAGAGGTCACATAGATTTCAAGGGACTGTAAAGTGGTTAATATTGTTGAGGATGATCTTACTGAAGTTATGAAAGGAACCTTTGACGTGCTATTATTGTCAAGACACAAAATTACAGTTTTGCATATTTTTCTTGAATTTTTTTTTTCCATATCAATAACACCATCATTTGGACTGAGGTGTTTTTTGTCATATTTATGGTTCATTTATCTCGATTAATCATGAATAGTCGTGATTATTCAAGATAAATCGCTCTCATTACCCTGTGATTAATCAGGTTATTTGACAGCCCTAATGTAACTATATAAATACACATGTATATAATTAGGGATTGTCTGATAATATTGGCCAACATATATAATATATATATAATATATTGGACGATATTAGCATAGTTATGTAATATCAGTGGAATAGTTTAACCCTGGGTTCCGCAAGGATGTTGTGACCTAAAATTGTTTTTTAATTAAAAACGAAAATGAAAGTGAATTATTGTAAAATTGTTTTTTAATTAAAAACGAAAGTGAATTATTGTCACGGTGACACAGCACAGTGCGCTGCATATATTGGCATTGGTTGATATATTAAAACTAGTTAATATCAAACATCCCTGTATATTGTCTATGTAGTATCTATTTAGAAATGCGGGCATTGCAGGGAAAAGCCAGAAGAATAATGATAATGGAAATTAATAACATCATTTGGATAAGTTTGGCCGGCCAGATTAAAAAGCCAAACGGGCCTCATCCGGCCCCCGGGCCATAGTTTCCCCATGCCTGATATAGAATCTAGTACTTCTGTGTTCAGACGATTGCATTGGCTTCACTTATGGAAAACAGATGAGTGACCTACTGTAAAAAAAAAATAAAAAAGCATAGTGACTCACTGATACACTGACACACTGACCCACAGACCTGCTGTTTGTTGTGTGTTACTAAAACCCTAATCCTTCACTCCACTCACAATCCCACAAATCCCATGGTGAAGGTTAAGGTGAGTCAAACTCATCCACCATGATAGGACATCCTGTCACAAAAAAAAGAAGAAAAAAAAAAGACTGACCTCAGCCTCTCCTCTGCCACAGCCAGGCGTCAGCTCATCTACATGATCTTCACGTTGACTATTTACAAAGAGATGATCTGATTTCCCCCGAAATAAAGTGTTAAACAGCACGTGGGTACGGTGCTTAACAATGACGCTTGAAAAGTGACTTTCCTCCAGGTGACCTCAAATTCACTGTTGACCTGGTCAGGCTAAATCCAATTATTCAATCAAGCAATTAAAGATGTAGGGTAGCCAAGTGAGTAGAGCACCAAAACACACTGCGTCTGACAAATATTGGTAAATATAGTGGTATATTAAGAATCACTATATTATATTATTGTTGTTGTTGTTGTTGTTGTTACCTCTGCCCGTGTTAGCTAGATGTAATATTTAAAATACTACAGAGATTTGATGGTAATATTAACACTAAAAACAATCAACACTATTTTTCTGTTTAAATTCCATGTTGACACCGACTCATGTGCTCTGCTGCCTCCTCTGTCGCTGTGCAATTGACCGCACTTTAAATATATATTTTAATCCACAGGTTGATCCTCTTACAGTGGACCCAGTTACCTGATTTATCTGTGTTACATCACAGAGGCCACATTGCAGGACCGTGTACTTCATCCCTCAAAGTTAAATTCACTCGTTTTGCTTTTTGCACACAGTATGTAGGCATTTAAATAGTCAGTCCAAACATTAAATATCTAAAGATCCTCGATGAATGACTGTTGCTTTTTCAGATTAAATATTTGCACAGTTTAAATATTATTGTACTTTTTTTTTAGATGCAATAATACTTACAATAATATCTAGTTCTAAAATATTTAGATAGTAAATAGTGTTGTTGTTGTTTTTATTTGTTCTCGATACATAAATGTATCGGTGAATATCAGTTACTGATATTGAGTGAGTTACTGAAGCGAAGCATGCTGGGTAAGTCTCTTTCTGAAATCTCCACATAGTCAGTGAATGCATCTTACAGTAAGTCATATTAAGACTTAAAATTGGTTATTCACATTGTGGTCAGTAGATGGCACTGGATCCTCTGGATTTTTGGCGGTACATATTAAAACAGCTGCGGTAGATAGTTCTATGTGTAATATAATAATAATAATAATAAGCTGTATGATAAAGTGAGGTTTTAACAGCTGCGGTAGATAGTTCTATGTGTGATATAATAATAATAATAAGCTGGATGATAAAGTGCTGTATCACAACACCAAGTGTTACCTATTATCAAATTATCTCTGTTGCAGTAACTCTAACCGATAATGTGAAAACCTCTCATGTTTGGGAACACTGTGAAGAGTAGACACTGGAACAAATTAATAAGAGTCGCCTGGAGCTGCTGTTTGAAATTAGACAGCAAAGGGTTCGGCCCTGCAGCTCGTGCCAATGCTATATTTGAGGCAGTAACAAATAAATCCTGGCAGAACTTCACAATCTGTCACTTTTTAAGAAGCTCCTGTCGAAATGAGCTGGGTGTGCGTGTGTGTGTGTACGGCGAAAAAATTCTTTTGGTTGTCTCCAAAGGTGCTAAGAACATACCTCAAATGTACCTCATTTACATCTGAGTCTTACCGTGCCAGATGGGAGGCTTCGGTTCAGACACGCGAACATCATTAGCATTTGACCCTGGAATCCCAGCCTCAACGTTTGTTAAATTTAGGAGGATTTAAGATGGTGGCAGTGTGTTAAAACGCTGTGATAGAAATTGTTAAAAATGTATCCATTTGGTATTAATCGCCACTTTGAATAACCACGTTCAGCCAGCTGTGGACACTGCACCCTGTCTTAGCCACTGAATCACACTGAGTTTCGAAAACAATTCCTAATCTGGTAACAGAGATAACCAATGAACAATTAAAGATGTTTTGCTCATTTCACCTTTGTAGTGATTCATCATTAATATTGTCTGCATTGACTGTGTCCCTGAAACACACACACGGGATGAGTTAGGTCCCGCCACCCAAAGGTTGAGGGACGGGAAACGCCAACACAATTCACAGAGCCATTGCCCAGACTTGACATGTACAGCGGGGATTCCTGAGTATTCAGTGGTTTAGGTGTTTAACACACAAACAAGTGTTG